AAATATAGGATTTAATGAGAGAGAATAGGAAAATATTTTTATTTTCAATTGGTTTTAAATTTTACATTCCATTTCCATCATTAATAAAAATATTTCTTATTTATCATACTTATTATTGTTTAATATGTATGTTAAAAATGTTCTCATTTTTTTTTAATTTCTATTTTTTCATTTTATCTATTTTTTAATTTTATTATTTAATCGTGACAACATGGATTAACCCATTTGACACAAAATGATTTAATTGCTTTTATGTTATTGGAATTATTAATTTATTAAGTATGGATTTAATTAATAGAACTTAATGATGAAAAGAAACAAAAATGACTTAAATATATGATTCAATGAACATGAATGCAAGTTAATAACTTAAATGTTGGATTTAATGAGAGAGAATTGAATGCATTGAATATCTTTAAATTAACTCTTTTAAACTCATTTAATATCAAGAACCGATTACCCTATTTGCCCTCATGTTTTATCAATAAATTTAAATATAGAGGGGTAAATTTTGTGCTTAGAAAATTTCAGAAATATTCTTGAGGCCATTCATGCTTTTTAAAGTAGTATAGATTAATATATATGTTAATAAATTTTATGTTGGTGATTCAATGTACTTCTGTCCTGAAATTTGTCTTCATTTCTCAGAGATTCTTGTGAACTCTTTGCAGAGAGAGTTTATTAATGCCAGTGTAGATGGTAAGTGTTGACAAGTTCTGCAAGTTAAGCAAGGACAGGTAGCACTTGATCTATGCATAGAATCCTCAGAACTTCTTCCTTTTGTGAAACATTCTGAGTAGATTAAATGCTTCCTTCGATGACTTTGAATGGACTTATTAATTACATAACAATAGAGATACTGTGCTTAAGGCTTAATYTGAAAGGAGTGCATATAGTACAAAACCTTATATTTTGTATTATTTTCTATGTATTTACACTGTATATATTTGTATTTATACTCTTTACAAACTGAGCCTAAAGGTCAATAGATGTTAATTGGTCTCTTTTGAACCATCTTAAACTCAAATGGTTATTAGATGATTGATGATGATAATGAATGGATCAATCAACAATGATCAAATCAAGTTCTTCGGTAAGGATTGGAAGGGTTAAGGCACATGTGCGTTCCTATTCTTGAACCTTCCTTGTTCTAAACCCAAGGCCACCATGGTGTGATAGTGGATCCTTGGGTTTTTGAACGAATTTTTTCAAGCCGTATAGTGTAATTCTTTTAATTCAAGATCCAGATAAATTAGCTTTATTAATGAATATGCAGACAAGGCTTAGATGACGGTTAGGGGTGGATTCAAGCTCAGCCTTGTCAAATAGTTGGCTATTCAAGTTCGGCTCCTAGGAATAGTATTAGTTTCGAGCTCGAGYTCAATTCAATTCGAGCTAGACTTGAGTTTGAGCTCAGCTCGGTTCATAGCTCGTAAGTTTGAGTTTAGTTCGGCTTGAGTTCGACTATAAGTCAAGTTTTAATTATATGTATAAAATTATTTTTTTTTATTTTTCAGACAAAAAATTAAGAATTATAAAAATTATTTAATAAAATTATTAATTATATATATATGTATGTATATATGTATATAACAAAAATTATTTATTTAATATTAAACTTGTGGTCCTCACGAGCTAAGTTTCACTAGGCTCGAGCTCGATTCAATTAAACAAAGGAGCCTATATATCAGACTCGAATTCGACTCGAAGATTGATTTAAACCAAGCTGAGCTCGAAGCTCAGTCATTTACGATGATGTTATTGAAAATACAGCATACGAAGTATAAAGTGGGAAAATAGGTAAAATTGGAGATAATGTAATTAACTGGACTGATCATGGTTTATAATAATTAAATATTATATTTCCAGTTTTGGATACTCTCTTATCTCAGTCATTGTTATCTCTGGTCCATACTTTGTTTGTTGCATGCTGTGTGCTGTGAGAARTTGCTGAGCAAGAGATTACATTGAGGAAGAACCTAAATCTACCATGCTGGCAAAGAAAAGAATTTAGTATTTATGTGATTTGATAACATGCGTCCATAAATGGAATGGACACTCTTTTTCAATATCTGAGAATGGRCCACAGGCCTTTGGGGAAACAAATATGTTTTGTTATGGGGTAAAATTAATAAAGGAAAATTTCCAATTAATATCYTYTACTTTGGGTCTAGTATTACTTTGGTCCATAAACTTTAAAATACGACAATTTAGTACTTGAACTTTCAAAATGTGATAATCCAGTACCTACCGTTAACTAGCTGTTAATCAGTCATTAAGGGACATTTTAAAAGACACAAATACCCTTCAAATGTCATTTATTTTTCTTTATCAATTATTCAAAAATTGACAAAAAAATTAATAGTCCCAAAGACACAAATACTCTCAGCAGCAGAACAAAACATATATACCAGAAAATATAAAATTTAATTTGTAAAGTGCGATATCATTAAATTAATTAAAAAAAGATACAATTAGTATTTAATCCTTACAATATCTCATTACTTTCTAAAAAATTTGATCAATCCAATGTCCAACTTGTCGAGATCTTTATATCAATTTGTCCTCTAAACAAAAGATCATATAAAGATGCCACCAGCTAATTAGTAGCCGCATATTCAAGATGCCACCATTTACTTCAAAGGGTCCCCACCCTCCTAAAACAATATATCTAATTTGGCACCTCGTGAACCATCCAAAATTGCTTCTCTCTCTCTCTCGCAAAGGAACCCCACCCTCCTGCTCTCTCTCTCTCTCAGGCACACCCTCCAAAAACAACATATCTCATTTGGCACTCGTGAACCATCCAATTGCTACTATTACATGCTGCTTCTGCTACTGCTCTCTCTCTCTCTCCACAGGAACCTAAGCATCATTAGCCTTCTTGGGTGATTAACATGCGTTATACTTGATTACTTGTGTATCTATTACCACCAACTATACCAATTGAACTAAATTAAATTTATAATAAACTAGAAAAACAATATCCTTTGAGATTAGACCATAAGAACTCAAACACCAGAAATTTATTAGTGAAGATGGTTCCCTCATTTTCAATAATACATAGAATTGAAACATAGTGTACGCTACGTGAAATGGGAGGAGGAAAAGAATAACAAATTCACATATTTGTGTAGTAAGGCAGATTCATCATGGACATTTGGGTCCTCCCCTCTTGGTCTTCCAGTTATTATAGCAAGGGCAGAATTGCTTGTTCCCATATGTGCCAGGAGGCACACACAAGCACTTGGCGCAGCATTTCTGGCAGAAGAACATACAGGGCTTCTTGTAAGCTGTTGCTGAGCACCGAGCTGTGCAACGCGGTGCACACTCTGCATGAAAACCATCCAATTCAATGATAACATCCAAACTAAAACACAAGACAGTCAGATTCAGACTCATATACACTAATGTATATACCAACTCACCTTGTGGCTGAAGGCTGCCTTGAGTGGCACCGTACTGTATTACACAACAACCCAGAAGAGTTAATAACTTATGATGTGTTAATTCAGTGAAAACAAAACGAAAAGAAATTACTACTACAGGAACTGCTGAAACTAACTGGGTGGTCATAGCTTGTCTCACCATGTGAAAGGTCGCTGACTGTGGTTCTGCAGCTGGAGGCTCTGTAGTAGTTTTAGCAGCCTTGAAACCCCAAGGGAATACAAATTAACCAAACTAATTAATAAACCTATTTATTAATTAAGTACAAACTTGATAAAATGCAGCAATAGATCATCAACAAAGATGTGTTTTATAGTTTGTAATCAATAAGTCAAAACAGCCAAGTAGAAAGGGACGAAGGATGTGTAAAATAAAGATATGATTTATACCTGAACTTCTATGAGTAAAATAAGCATCATCGTCACAAGACACAGCATCAGAGTGTATTGTCTCCTTTCCATTGTTGAGCTTCAAAGAAAATTGAAGAAGTTAAGAGTGGAGGAGTGTTTGTGAAGTGGCGAGGGGTGAAGAACAAGGGCGACGTTGGAGATCTTGAAAGTAAGTATATTTATAGGCGACCATCGAGCCTCTAACTTTTGTTTTTCTTAAGCAAAAAGTGCCATTTGTCTATATCAAATTCCTAATGCATGAAACCGTGAAAATTAACGCAGAGCCACAGTTTCAGAAGCAGACGCAGAGCCTCTCTCTCTCTCTCTATGGCTTCTTTTAGTTTTATCTTATGCAAAGGCCCCAGGGCCCAGTGTCAACCTGAAAAGCTGGGTGGATGGGAATGGCTGAATAGTTCAACCGGATGGTTAACCTGGTAAAATGAACAAAAACAGTCAAAAACAAAGGACCCTGTCTGTTTCTGTCCAAATGGCGAACCAAAATTAAGGCAGTTTGGTTACCTATTCCACTTTCATCACTACTTTATCCCTTGTTTAGGTAATGAGAACGTACACTACCAAGTGAATAAAAAATATAGAATTCAAATGTGGATGTACAATTTGACCATCTGGTTAAACTGTTCTTCCCTGATTCTATCATATATATACTCTGGTTCAATATATGAATTGAACTGAAAGGAGCCTTGTCTTGGTTCATTCTACCCTGGACTTTGGACTCTAAAACACGGCCTGGAACTTAAAAGTTAAACCGAGAAACCTTTAGATTGATAGGGGCCTTGTTCAAACTTAAAAGCAAAGCTCCCTATAGAAATCAAAACTGAAAAGGAAAACATGATCTCTTCATTGCATGGGTGTTGACCTTCATGTTTCTTCTCAAGGGCTGAAAATAAATTTCAAGTTCATTGATTTAAGCCTTGTAATGAAAATGGGATCTCACTCGAGGTACTGGATTATCATCACCTCTGAACAAGGCAACAAGCAACAATTTTTCCACATCAGAGAGAGAGAGGTAGGTTGATAATGTGCTTGGTGTTTGGTAGCCCATTTTTAAATTGAATCATCTCATCATATGTTTTAACTATACAAGTGCTTTTTTTTTTTTCTATTTATAACCATGTAAGTGCTTGTTCACCATCAAAGTGAGTTAATTTCTTCTTAAACATTGTGGGTAAGAATAGGAGACATTGAAGGGGGGCATGGAGGTTTCATTTAGAAAACAAGGACAATTTGGTGAGTTCAGATCAAAGAGAAAAATTAAGAGATTTGCACTTCCACATCTCTCTCTCTCTCCCCCCTCATCCATGTGCAATGCAAGACTTCCAATCAATAGGTTGATAAGAGAGGGTTCACATGTGAACTTACATGTGCTCCGTTGGTATACGTGGGGCCCTTCTTTTCTCAAGAGACAAAACTACAACGTAATGTAGAGTGGCAGTGAATGCATATGAACCACATATTGGCTGCTCATCAGTTGGAGTGTAGTGAGTCTGATCACTGATGACAAGGCATTCGTTAGTTATCGTCCTCTTCTTCTGCTTTGTCTTCTTCACAAGGAAAGGTTTGACGGATACTTCTCTTCCTATATATTTCTCGTGACCTTATGACAAACATACTATACGAGGTCCCCTCACTCAATAACCAATTACCATTCTATATAGAAGCCCATGACCCACTATTATTGTGTCCTGAATGACAGATTGCCTACAGCTAAAATCAGTATAAATTTAAGCTTATCATTTAATCATGTTCAATTTTTTAGGTCGTCAGTATCATAGGTGGGGTCCTTTTGATAATGGGTTTCRAGTGCTTATCTATATAACACGTGGCAGTAGAACAGGGACCATATAGCTTTTGCAATTAGGGCATCCTCACTGTATCACTTCCCTTAAATTATTAACCCTCTCCTATAGCCAATCGTGCAAGTACTAGAGGGAGAGAGAGATTGCTGTCCACTGCAGCCACTATGGGTTCAGATTTTCAGGGTTTCAGTTGGGTACCCTGCTAATGCTGTATGCTCGTGATCAGATACACCATTTCACCGACCATGTTTTTCGGGGTATCAGTAGTGACAGGTTCTGTTTTATTCTCGTGACGAATCCTAAGGTTGTCATTCATACCATTATTTGTTTTCAATCAATAATCTGGAATCAGATTTCAGTCAACAATCAGGGAAAAAAGGGAAAAAGGCACATAAACATTAATATAATCTTCTTGATTAGATGGTCTTGAGCCTCAACTACCAATCAAAAGGATTCTTTGTTGAGATTTTAGAGCCAATATATAATATGTAACAACTACAACAACCACCAAGATGGATTAAGTTTGCTTATCATTTTGACAAGCTGATTTTGACTTCACTTTGTAAAGGCCGTTTAGCAGTGATTAGTTTTGCTTGTCATCTTGACAAGTTGATTTTGCCTTCACTTTGTAAAGGCCATTTATAGCAGTGTTTTCAACCTGCCGTTAACTGAGACGGTCAAATTGTTTGAACCATCACCTGTCCATGATTTTGGGTCTGTTTAGCTAAAACCCAGGATTTGGTCAAAATCCACTAACTCAGTTAAAAACTATTTGACTTGGAAGGTTGTACCGTCGACCTGTTCAACTCTGTCACCAGGTCATAGCACCCTCAATGTATGTGCAAACTTTAAGAGACCATAACTTTATGCTCAAATGTCCAATTGGGGTTATATTTTTTAAAATTTGGATAACTTTTCAAGATCCACATATCCTAGCCCCACTATTTTCACTACAAAAGGTTTTTTGCCTTAAATTATAATTTTTAGCATTTTACAAATAAAAATTAGAAACTGAATTAAAATATAAATTAAAAATAAATAATGTATATATTGCATGTAAAATATAACTATACATATATATATATATATATATCATATTTTCTGATGTGGCATGATCTGACCCATTCAACTCATGCTCTAACCTGTGACTCATGACCCAGAGGCAAAAATGGTTTGGCCTTTGGGTAAGTTTTTAAAACATTGGTTTATGGTGGGTTCCTAGTTCCTATAGGGGGTCCATCTTATTAGTTATTACTAAGAATGAAGAAATCAATTGCCATTTACAATTTTGAGATTTTGTCCAACTATGTTCTCAAACTTGTTAAATGGAACCTTTGCTAAGCTTGCAAATAAGAACACCTTTAAATAGGACTAGAATGTTCTAAAAGCACCATACACATTTGTTTTTCTCTTTTCTATTTGTGGCCCCTAACTTTCCTCGAGGTGAGAAGAAGCCACCTTAAATTTTATTAATCATTATAAAAAGGGTTCGACTATGATATGGAAAGATATAATATCACAAAGTTTTGACCAATCAACTCCCTAACCCTAGTGGCAGCGGGATTTAATCCCAGCTCTAGCTATGAGCCAGAGATCTTCCAACTGACACCATCAGGGGTTGTAAGACCATAAATCTGGAACTTAAAAGATAAACGTGGGTTATGTTTTAAGACCATAAATACAGTTCATAGCCAGAGGAATATATGACATTCATCTAAGACAAATAGACAATGCATACCAAAGATGATAGTAATTTTCTCTTCAAAATGGTAAATCATGTTGTACACCTTCCCCAAGGACTGAAAATACTACAGCGTCCTTCTGTCGGGCTGGGGTTGCTGGTGCCATTCATCAGATGGTCTTACATGTAGATTCCCTTAGTATACTGGGAGTACAGTATGTTGGCTATTTTAAATCAGAAAAAAGTAATAAAATACCATACTATTGATGTAATGTACCAATAAATCAAAGAATCATGATTTTCACAATGTTACGAGCTTCTTAGAAATGAGTATGGTCTCGTATTGGAAAATATGTTTACTCGCTGTAAGCAAGATAGTAAAACTGGTCCTACCCGTATTGGTTCCTCTTTAGTGTATTCCTGGTCCCTTGATTAAGGGTAATCAAGATGCTAAGATGAAATAAAAAAATTATAACAGCTATTTTCAATCTCAACGGTGAATGTATCTTTGTCTCGATTGCTTTCTTGGTCAATTGCAGCCATGTAGTAGTTATGAGGATTTTTTTTAGCAGTATGAATATCCTTTTCAAAGCAGGAACTCTCCATAAGGCTATACGTCCTCGAGGAGCAAAAGTTGGAGTTATAGAAGCCGTTCAATGTTGAGGAAATTTGGGAGGTGATCAAAGGCTTGAGGATTGACAATTTGCAACAAATGTTGGGATAAGAGGCTTGGAGGATTTCAGGGCAATGCCTTGCTTGTAAGAAGTTCGAATACAATTTTTATTACTCTTATCCCACCCATCATTCTATGAAAAATTGATCGTGAGAAGCCTATGATAATGGGAATCGGAATTGCTTGAACTATATAGGTATGTATTGCCCAGCCACCACCCTAAATTTCCAATCCTCACAAATAGGCAGGCAGCTGGTTTCTTTACAATCTCAAAAGGTATTTAACAAAGACACCACCTCTCCCCTCTTCATTTGCTTGACGGAATGTTGATTCGATTCATCAACAAGGTAGCTTATATTGGTCATCTGGGTTTAGAGGTTAACCCAAGGGGAGAGGAGGTGCAGGTGTTGCAGTTTGTGGATGACACTATTTGCATTTTGGATGCTTCCCATGCCCAGCTGAATGTGTTTCTTGGGATATTAATTTGGTTTGAGGTGGTCGTTGAGCTGAAGGTCAATCTTGGGAAGAGTTCTATAATTCCTGTTGGCCAGGCAGAAAATGAGAGCCTAGCTGGTGTACTGGCCTGCATAGTGGACCATCTCCCAATAAAGCATCTTTGGATGCCTTTAGGGGTCTAAATGTAATTCTGCTGCAATTTGGAATCCAGTTCTTGAGAGGTTAGAGAAGAGATTTTCTTCTTGGAAGGTTAAATACCTTTCCAAAGGTGGGAGAGTAACTCTAATCAAAAGCACATTATCTAACTTCCCCACTTACTACTTACATATGTTCCCAATCCCCATGAAGGTGGCTAAACAATTGAAATGCTACAAAGAGACTTTTTATGAAAGGTTGACATGAGGAGAAAATTCACTTGATTAACTGAAATCAAATCTGTGCTCCCTTAGGGAAGGAGACTTGGGTGTTATAAGAATTAAAGATTTTAACATGGCTCTTCTTGGGAAGTGGATATGGAGATTTGGGTGGAAAGGAGGGTTTCGAGAATCCTAATCACAGCTAGATATGACCTGAGAAAGGGAAATTGGGCCATGGCTGAGCCTACCTCTTCTTATGGCTGCTGCCTTTGGAAAGTTGTCATAGAAGTTCATGACAAGACCTCAAGTTGTCTACAACGTGGGGGATG